AAAAAAAAAAAAAAAAAATCAAGCCATGAAAGAAAAAGTACATCCTTATATGTTAACCTTGAATAGGAAAACTGCCCAAATATCTTTATATAACATTCAAAAATACCCATTAGCAACTGATCAGTTCATTCAGTATACTAAAATGTGGATTTACAATTGTAATTAACGTGAAAGAGAGGGCCCTGAATTTCTCCATGGTTATGTGTCCATACCACTATGTGAAGACTGAAGACATCAATCTGGCTGACTTCAGTACCCCTTCCAGCTTGGAGATGTATTGATAGAGCAATATAAGAAAGCTTGCAAATTGTATGTGTACAATATGCCTAGCTTTAGTCAGCATTATCAATCTCTAACTTTAAAAAGCATTAAAAGGCACCAGATTTAGGCAAAATATTTTTAAACAAGCAACATCCATAGTCTTCATTTCTAAAGTTTAAAATATAATTTTATACATTTCCATAAATGAATAAAAACACCATGAAGTCTCATCAACATGCACAGAGCGAAAAATCGGTTTTGGTTCCAAGTAAGGGAATGTATAATTCACCTGCATTTGGGGGTCTGCTTTTAAAGCACGATTCAAACTTACTCTACACTGATTGCTATTATAACCATTTTAAATATTTTAAAAGAACATTTCCATTTTTCTTTCTACATTAAAGATTCAAGGCACTCTGCATTTTAATTCTCAAATGGAAAAAGAACTAAAATAATATCTGAAGATTCAGTTTCACGAACATGGACCTCACCACTGCTACCACTGCTCTCCACACACACACACAGATACAGACGCATATATGGGGGGAGTCAGGGCATCAATCATTGTAACCTAACATAGCTCCATTGATATAAATCTCCAGCTGTAGATACACCTCACTGATGATTCTGTATGAAAGGTTACCACCAGATTTTAATGTCAAGTCTTAATATTGCCCTTTCCTATACCCTTTAGGTCAGGACTGCCAATTGTCCCATATGCTTGGCAAACAAAGGGAATGTTTCTACAAAGTTCAAAAAATAGTGTCCAACAGTTTTGGAGTTACAAATGATATAAGAATTATCCTGATTTTCAATGTTGATTTGGGGGGGCAGGGGGAAGGTTGTTTTTCCAGATTTGGTTTTGGGTTGATTTTTTTTTTGCTTTGTACTAGCTCAAAATGGTGGTTACCTTTACAAAGTTTGTTCCAGATATCATTTCTTTGAAACTCAAGCACTAGCTGTATTTGAATAAGATTCATGCCAGAGACCCTGAGTTCCACATTGGTTTAAGACAGCTGTGCTTGATTCTGTGAGGTCCGATCCCACTCTCCCTGATATCAGTGTTTGTCTTCTGCCTTTGAGTTCAGTGGGAACAGCAGAACTGAAATGCAGCCAAGAATACCTAGCCTGTGAGAAGTAGGTGCAGGAGGGACTTTAAATTAGTCTCACTGGGTGCATCGACAGGTGTGCTTTAATGCGTAGTAGCCTATTTTACTGAGCAGTAAAGCGTCATGTAAAAAACTGTGCTATTATGCTAATGCTAAAATAGCCTATTATGCATTAAGCATCACTTAAAAACCATGTGCATTCATTACTGCACATTAAGGCAACCTAACATGCATTTGTTTAGTACCTCAGGGTACCTATACGTGAGCAGGGAAGCTGCTCCAATGTGCTGTAATTCCAGGGCATCAGAGCAGACTCGACTAATTGAGTCTGTGGCGTGTGGTAATTACCATGCTCCAGCAGCTTCCCACATCTCATGTATCAGTGTCCCTGTACTTCAAAATGATGGCAGGGGTACTTTATCTAAACCTTGTTCGTCAACCTTTTGATAAAGTGCCACCACCACCATTTTGAAGCATGGGGATGCTGTTACACAAGATGCTCTGGGCACTTTAATTACAGCAGCTCTAATTAAAGCATCCCCACCCTACTCCTGGAGCACATGTATAGACACCCTCACATTGGAGATACTAAATTTAATGCACATTAGAAAAAGTGCCTTATTGCAGATGTAGACGTGCCCACTGTGTAACTTGAGCAGCCTATGGGCAGTGATTACCCCCCACCCTCCCAACACACACCCCAGAGGTGGGGGATTATATACATGGGATGCTCACAACAAAGACAGGAGCCTCCTTTCTGCAGTGCCAAGGCTATCCTAGACCCTCCACTAAAATGCCCTTTAAGGTGGCAGGAATATTTATTTTCTGTTTAACATGTTGCATTCAGAAGTGATTCATAACCAAGTGTCCAATCTAATTTTATCTTTCAGGGCTGGGACTCCAGGAGTTCTGGTATCTGTTCCAGGCTCTCTATTGCAGACATCCTGTAAGACCTTGAGCAAGACAGACCTCGCTGAAGCTTGTTTCCCCTCTCACTTACATTAGTAGAATCAGTGTAATTCTGCCAATTCCAACAGCGTGACTCCTGGTTTATGCTGGCATAAGTGAGATCAAAATCAGCATTTCTGGGTTGAAATGCTGGGTGATAGACAAAGCCTGTATTCTCAGTGGCATAACTGAGCACTCAGCCGTTGTGGTACAGACATATCTTCATGGGTTAGCCTTCCTGCAAGAAATAAATAAACTATTGTATGGAGCCAGATATCTAAAACAAGTTGCTCCCACCCCATCTGATGCCACCTCCAAAACAGAGGTGCTTGTGCAAGGTAAAGATGATTCACTGGAAATAGTCTTGCAAAGGCTTGTGTGTCTGTAAAGGAGTGGAAAATGGACAGGGAAGTAGAGAGATCAGGAGCAGCAAAACCAAGGACATAGTAAGAACAAGCTCTGGGAACGTGTCAGTGAGATGAAACTCTTAGACAGAGCTTTTAGATTAAGGGCTGACTGGAAAGAAGGTTGGATCTGTGAGCAAAGACTTTCTCTTGCTGTTGGACTCCCGCTGTGTTCAGGGAGATGGGACATTGTACCATCTTTGTAAACAAACAGGATTACATCAAAGAAATATCAGCCATTTTCCTCTTATTGAGAACAACGTTCAACCACCTCAATTTTATTAGCTGGTTGGGCTCAAAAAAAAAAAGGGGGGGTAACAAAGTGCTATACATTGTACATACTCTGAAAAACCAGGTACTTTTCAAATTGGGAACCCAGAATTAGCTGATACTTCATTTTGACTTTATTCTCTGTGCCGCAGTTTTCTGTAGGTAAAACAAGGATAATAAGAGTACCTCAGTTCCCTGCAGTGTTGTGATGATTAGTCCATTAATGTTTGTAAAGAAGTATAACACTGAAATAAAAGCACCATAGAGAAATTAATCCTTCTATCCTCAGTGCAGGACTTGCAGGGCCTGCCATTAATAAGGCACAGGGACCTATTTTGAATGAGGAGGATGAAAAAAGTCAAAATACCTACCCAGGCACTGACCAACTCTCTCTTAACTTCAGAGTTGTCAATCCTAATATTCTTTTAATCTGTTTTTTTAATGCTCTCTCTCTCTCTTTCTCTCTCTCTCTATATATATATTTTTTTTTTCCTCAAAGGATGAGTGGTTCCCTGGTCAACTGCTGTGCTTTCACAATCATATTTTTCCCCATTACTCTGTTATTTTTTTCTGTTACTGTGACAAACCCATATAAACCAAACGTGATCCTTGCCTAATTGTACAGGGGAAACGTCAAAACCCACTATACACAAAGTGCTGTCAACTGTGCACAAAGCAACATATTTTTTTCCTTTAATCTCATTCAGTTATTGTAATTTGAAAGGTAGCTGAACATTTTGTTCAGACAGAACTGTGATTTTTAAATTAATTGTGTCTGCTTAGGCTTCACAACAGTGTCTGCAGATAGGGATTATTGGTTACATTGAGGGAGAAATCCTGTTTTTACAAAGCATGTTAAGAGTCAGGAAAGCTCTGATCCAGCAAACACTTGTTCATGTGTTTAAGTATGCAGGTAGTTTCCCTGAAATCAGTGTGTGAATACCTGGTCCCACTGAAATCAGTGTGAGTTTTGCCAGTGATTTCATTAGGACCAGGATTTCACCCAAAGGACTAACTTACAAGTTCAAACTCAAGCCTGTGGTTATATATAAGCACTTCCACGGTCAAGGCCAATGGCTTTCTCTACTACTCAGAAGAGAACAAAACTGGGCTTAAAATAAACTTATCAAATTAAATATGAAAATGAGTGCATTATGACTGGCTGCAGAAGAGTAAGTGAAAAAACTATTATTCACCTCCTTGAAGGAAAGAATTAGTTTTAAATGGGCCTTTGATTTTATCTGCCATTGCGAATAGTAGTTAAAAAGGAAAAAAAAATTAAAAAATAATGTCTATAGTAGAGAGATTTCCAGGTACCTCAAGTGAGAATAATCAAAATATATGTAGACACACTTATATTGATCTTTTGTTTCAATAAATGTCAGGATCTATTGTGGTAAATACTGTCCTTCACTTTATCTCAGCCAATAGTATTCTCTCTGATCAATAAATCTATGCAAGAGTCAGTATCTACTTATTACATTCACTGCATTAACGGTAATTGTAGCGGACTAATATGTACCACTGCACTGGAATTAGACCTGCTTGCCAGTGTGACGTAGGTCATATACTGCTGAAAGTCCATAGAGATTTTTCTCTTTAGCTCAGGTGGCAAAAGCCAGTGCTCCTACAATAGGCAAAGGAGGGTTCCCAGGGACCACAACACACAGCATTTCTTATACAGGGCAACTATTGCGTTGCTGAGCACCCCAAGAACAAATGCCATCTCAGGATGTCAAAGTGCTCCACACCCATTAAACTATCTGTTTTATAGACACATATTCCTGCTTACCATAAGGTCTGAACCCCTGATAACCCCTAATGCTTTTTTCCTCAAAACACCAAAGGGGAGGGGGGGAGGCAGGGAAATACTACCATTTCCATTTTAAAACAGAGCAGTGAAGACAGTAAGAGCCAATGAGTCTTGTGGAGGATGGGACTGACCAACCCTGTTCTCCATAATCTACTGACATGCTCCAAGATTCATTTTGCTGAGGGGATAACCTACCCCTAGAGCTACCCTTCCACAAAGAGACCTACATTTTCACTCCACTTAAACTTGAGCAGAATAATGAAGAACCAGGCCCTGTAAGTCATCAAAGCCCCTTACACATTTCCTTCCTTCTAGCTGCCATCAGGGAGGATGTTTCAGGTAGACACTGCCAAACCTCTTACACAGTGGCCTTTAAAAATCATTCTGGGGCTGCTCAAAGAGACAACCAGCCTTCTGGACCTTGTGTGTCTCTGGTAGCAACAGAAGGTGCTTTTGGGAAGGGATGGCAAGTAGCTCCAGGCCCGAGTGTCTCTGACCAAACCATCTGAGTGTCAGATTTAGACATGGATGTGGACAATACACTGGAGGAGAGGTTCCTCTGGTCTTTCAACCACCATGTTCCAACTTTCTCCATAAATTGGAGTCTAAGCTCTGTCACCAAGTGCCTGGTAGGGCTGTGTGAATCTTCGGGTGCTGATTGGATTCGGAGGAGATTCAGCCTGATTCGGTGCCTCACCCAGCCCCACCTCCTGGCCCTTTAAGAAAAAACCCCACTCACTGGGTGCTGCCCGCCAGGGGGGCAATCCCAGTTGCTCCCCACTGCCCCACACAGCATGGGGGGTCTCCGCCATGAGTCCTCCAGCCCCCCTCCCTACTCTCCCAGCCCCCCCATGGCTGCCGCGCCTGCCCCAGCTCCAGCCCTTTAAGAAAATAAAAACCAAAAGAAACCCTGTTACTGCTCCTGCAGCAGCCTCAAGGCTTTGGGGGGGCTTGTGGAAGAGCCCTCCGTGTGGCAGGGAGCAGTGGGGGGCAGCAGGGATCACCCCCCGCCAGGCAGGAACTGGTGAGTGCGGGGTTTTTTTTGTTTTTTCTTCCTTAAAGGGCCAGGAACTGGGTCAGGCAGGGGAGCCATGGGGGCTGGGGGAGCAGGTAGGGGTTGGGGGTCTCATGCAGAACCCCCTACACAGCATGGGGGAGTAGGGACAGCAGAGATCACACCCCCCCTAACACCAGCAGCACCCACTGAGTCAGGGCTGTTTTTTTGAAAGCTGGGCTGGATGGAGAAGCCATTGCCACAGTGGAAGAGTGGGCGGGGGATGGGCCCATGTGATTCAGCTGAATCGATTCAGGACAGCAATTCGAATCACCAAATTGAATCACTGTCCCCCGAATTAGCCGAAACCGAATCCAAAGCAAATACCAGCCGCTTCACACAGGCCTAGTGCCTGGCTTTCTTGAAGAGTTCAGCCAGGCTCTTACTCAAGTATTGGCCCAAGCCTCAGTCCTGTCTACATTCAAATCCCCCTTACCAGAATTTGGTAGTGCTGAAAATTCAAGCTAGCTGGCCCTACTGGATCTATAGGGTAGAGCCTCTGTTTCAGTCTCCCTCAGTTTGACCAGCCACCTACTTTTTCCATGAGTGCCGCCAACAGTCCTCCAGTGACTTCCCAGGTATCCACCTCTAAGCCCAGAAGGACAGACCGGTTCTCCCACAGTGCAATGGGCAAGACTCAGAGTAGCAAGCTCAGGGTATAGAAGCACAAGAAACCATAGTTTCTGCTCCAGGAAAAGAGATTCCAGGATAGACTCTGCAAGTTGCAGAGGCCTGCATCTGAGCTGCCAAGTCTCCCCATTTCCTGAAAAACAAAGAAACCCCACTCCTCATAAGAATGGGACTGAAATATGGATTTTTTATTGCATTTGCACACAGGACAATGCCCAGTGCCTTTGCCAAATCACTTTTAACTATGTCACTCTTCATCCTCTCTTGGGACAGCTCTGGCTTAAGTTTGGCTTTCAAGAGTAAATCACATTAGGCGTTTGGCTCAGGCCACCAAGAACAGTAAAACAAATAGCTTTCTTGTGTCATTTCCTTTTTTGTGTGTGTCATTAACGTTAAGCACATGATGTTGCAACAACAATATAACTGATGACTTAATGGACCAAATTTTAATTCAAGTAATATTTTCATTAATCTAAAAGCTATCCCTTAAAAGTCTGGGAAATTTATTTGTTGGAAAAAATCCAACAAAACTCTACTGAAAATTCTGTTCTGAATGATAATATGTGCATTTTTGAAGGCTCTTCTCTGGCAGAGTTTTCTGTTTTTTATATATATATATATTTTTTTTTTAATTTCTATGTTGCTGACACATTATCTTTTCCCACAGGCTTTCCATGCGATAAAACACTGAACTATGTGGACCGAATCCTCAAATGGTGGAAATCAGCATTGCTTTATTGATGACAGTAGAGCAATGCTGACTGACTCCACTCAAGGATCTGCACCCTTGCTTAGAGTGGCACATCCCAAGTGGTAATTTTAGGTAGAGGATTAGAAAGGCAATGTGAAGCAGATGCAAAACAGACGTGGGTAGCTGGAGAGAATCCCCATTAGAGCAGAGGCACTGCACCCAGCACAAGAATGTGTTTTGAGGCAAAGCTAAGCTGCAGCAGCTGGGGCGAGGACAGACAGGTGCAGCTGTGAGAGAGGATATGAATGAGCCTATTGCATTGTTGCCTGTGGAATGATGGGCCTTCCCCTTTCAGCAAAATTTGCCATGCAAACAAAATAAAATCAGGTCCTGTGATGAGGATCCTTGATGTCATTGCGTTTGCATTCACAGACAGTAGAACATGTTAGGAGTGGAAAATATTTCTCACAAAAAAGATTGCAACAGAGCTTCCTTGAGTGCCAGCCCAAAATGGCAGAATGAACATTTTGCAGTAACTGTATCATCACCACCGTCCTCAACACCTTGAAGCCTAAATGAAAGGAATATGTCTATGACTTAGCCTCTTCCTGCAGTTTACACATATTCTTATGGTAACATGTATGTATCATAAGAAAAATCTGAAACAAAACAGTCCACTGCACAGGCTTCTCTCCTTGAGGAGAGAAGGGGAAAACAAAGACAATCTGACAGATGAAAGAGGAGTAGCTTACTGCAGTGCTGGAAGGTAGGCAGATGATGAGTGAGGTACAGGACCCAGAGTAGAAGTCCAGGTGGCTCTCATGGGAACACAGCCCCAAGGCTTGAATCGCATTGCAAAATCCAAGACTACTACTTCAGCTCGGGTACTCCTCAAAATGAAGATGGGTCAGAAGCATCATGGTAAACACAAAGGAAATGTTAAGATGTACTAGTTCACTTCTAAAAGTAGGCAAGTTTCCCTGCCAGCCATCCAGAAGGGGATGCTATGAATCCTTTCAAGCTGGCTTCTGGAGAATGCATACAATCCACTCAGGCAGCTTCTGTTCTTTACATATTTGCTCAGTTTCTTAATTTCATATAAAGACCATCAAGACTAAAAGCAAAATTGAGTCTGTGTGTGTGGAAAACATAATGGCCACCAAGCCTGCCCTCTAACAATCGA